CAAATTAATCATCTTTTGATGATCTTCGATTTGACATCCATATTGTATATATGAAATAAATAACTTATATTTATCTTTATAATAATAAAAAAATAATAATATTTATTAAAATTTATTAAAAAAATAAAATTATTTATCAATTGATATATTTATTTTTAATGTAGTTATATGTTGTAAGTTAGAAATAATTATTATATAACACAAGTAAGTCGCACAAATAAAAAGTGTTATACTAAATATATAATAATATATATATTTTTGTAAAATGTATTTAAATTTTCAACTACTTTTTCTCATTAATTTTAGACTTTAAGAAAAAAATTAGCAAGCACCCGTGTAATACACGGGTGTTATACTAGTAAATAAATAAATAAAAATATATGGTGCTAATAAATAATAATATGTCATTCATATGATTAATTTATAGATAAAAATGAAAAATTCATAATTTCTTCATCAAGTGTTCGTAAATTTAGAAAAAAAATATATATATTTATAAATTACCAACTGAAGAATATTAAATGTTTTAATATATTATTATTAAAAAATACACCCTAAATAATAAAAGTGAATCACTATTTACCGCCCCCTTTTACTACTTACCGCTCCCCCCCTCCAATTACGTTTTTGCCCTTCACACTATATCTCTACTTTCTCTCTCTACTCTTTCCCTCGACTTTTTACGGCTCTTTTGACCGTCAAAAAATTTTGAAAAAATCCGAAAAAATAACATGACATCGGCAACACATTGAAGATTGACTATGTATTTTTTTTATATTTTTTTACTTTGTAAATAATTTTTGATTTTTTTTTATTTTTATTTTGCGCGTCAGGACGAAATTTCCGGACGCACCATGGGGTGTCCGGACGCGCAAAAAAAAAAATTAAAAATTATTTACAAAGTAAAAAAATATAAAAAAAATACATAATCAATCTTCAATGGCTTGCCGATATCATGGTATTTTTTTCAGATTTTTTCGAAATTTTTTTGACGGTCAAAAGAGCCGTAAAAAGTCGAGAGGGAAAGAGTAGAGAGAGAAAGTAGAGAGATAGTGTGAAGGGCAAAAACGTAATTGAGGGGGGCGGTGAGTAGTAAAAGGGGGCGGTAAATAGTAATGCCCTAAATAAAATGTTTTTATCAAACAGCTATAAGCTTTCAGCTATTTACCAAGCTCTAATTTAAAAACCGCTAATGCTTTATCCGCTGGTCAAATCAGCTCATATAATCCGCTATCCGCTATCCGCTGATACAATGGCTATTCATTATCCGCTATCGTTGATAGCCAAACAAGGCCAAGAACTGCTCAACTTATTATAATAGTAGAAAGCTTTGCCAAATTAATAATACAACCGCAAAAACCAGCTAGCGGGATGGGCCAGCCCGCCAAAACTCGACTTTTGATGGACGGGGCGCCCAACCTAACTGCAATCCGAGCTATGGATTAGCATATTGGCCCACCATTTCTCTATTAATTCAAATTTGTTGAGTTTAAGCGGCAGAGTCGCGCGTTTTGAAATTATGTGTGTCAAAATATCATGTTTTGCATTTAGGTTCGGATAAAAAATTTAAAAACAAAATTGGATTAGAATCAACTATAAAAAATTATTACATCTTATATTATTGTCTCCCATAAATCTCTCTTTCATTACCATAAATTTATTGGCTCCAATAAATTTGTGTATTAACTCTATTATGTTGTTAGAGGAGTATATTCCTAAGGTAATTTCGAAAAATTTGTACGTTGTAATTTTAAATAGATTTTTGACTAATTAAGTTTTGGATACTTGTTCTAATTGAGTGCAAGAAATGTTTAATTTTTAGCTATTAATTAATCTTTTTTTACATGTATTACTTTTTTGTATTTTATACCATTGAAAATACATTTTATATCATTCTTTAATATTCACAATCTTATCAGTGTTTTACAAAACATCTATTAACAAAAATCATATCACTACAACAAAAATCATATCAATGTTTCATATCAATGAATATGAAAAATATTCAAAAAATTATGTCTCGACTTAAATAAAGTATGTATAAAGTTTAAATGTTATTATGATGTTGTAAATAAAAATAAGAATGAATATCATAATTAAAAATCAAAAAATTATATTTCCTAAATTTAGAAAATAATATATTTGTATATATTAATTTATATTTTAAATTATCAAATATTATAAATTTAAAATACTTAATATTAATATGATAAATCAATCACTACAATATAATAAGGCATTTAAAAAAATAAAAAACTACAAAAATCGAAATCAAATTTATGGTGTTGTAGATATCATTCCCTTTGGACATATTTAATTTGATAAATATAATAAACACTTATTACTTTAACAAATTAAGTGTAGAACACGGTTTCATGTTAAATAATGTCACTTTGTACTTCTTTATTTCTTTTATGGTTTCGGCAAAAAAAAATACTTCTTTATTTCTTATAATTTACCAAATAAGAATATAATTATTTTATTATTTTTTTCTTATAAAGTATCATTTTTTAAGTACCGTGTAGTACACGGATATCGTACTAGTTAAAGAAAAATTAAATTCTAAATAATAATAAAGTTACACGACAAATGATAACATTTACAATTCTGATCGTATTTCATATTTTAGATTCCAAAATAAACCAATAGCCAAATTTTACACAATATTTTATTGTGTTGGAAGATTGATAAGATTCATCATCAATACATGATCACATGAACAAAGAAAGGAAAAACTTGCCGCTGTATTGGATGAATGAAAATGAACGGAGACATAGGCTATGTTTGGTAAAACTAGCTGATAAGTTAGTTGATAGCTGATAAGTTAGCTGATAGCTTATCTATAATTTTCGACTTATAGTTTATGACTTATAGCTGAAAAATTAGCTTATACGATAAAAGTGTTTGGTAAAATTAGCTGATAAGCTAGCTGGAATAAAAAATTCAACTAGCTTATTTGAAAAGTTACCCAAAGAAGTTTATCAAATAAGCTCGTCCTACCAAACGGAGTTTATTTAAATACAGGGAGCTTATAAGCTAACCAAATAAGCTATAAGCTAGCTTATTGGTCAACCAAACATAGCATTAGAGTTTACATGATGTGTATATATATTGAGCAAACATAACTAAAGGTGCTATACACTAAATGACATCATAACCTTAAAGTAAATTATAACTTTAATGTAAAATGGTTAAATACAACTTTAATGTAAAAGAGGTGCTGAAATATAGGTCTTGGGAGTGCTTCATTTGTTGGAATGTGATGAAGTTTTAGTAGGCCAATGCTAATTTTCTCTGGCAATACAATTTAATGTGTTTCGTTCTCTCATGAATGACAAGGTTAGAAGTCATTGCTAAGACTTATTTACTATCAATAAATAAACAAAGAGAAATGCTATAAATACATAATATTATACATAGGGGTGTACATAACACTCACATTAGGTGAAACCTGTCAAAAATAAAAATCAAGTGGACCCCACTCCATGTGAGTGTTATGTACACGTCTATGTACGTTTATTATGTACTTGTGGCATTTTCCACGAACAAATATGAGGAGTAAGTGATATGCAAAGCTCATTACTCAAGTAAGTAAGCCACTGAATTTCACAAGTGGTAGCTGGTAGTTCTCTATATTCAAACCTCAGCTGATGACCTACTTATTGTTGGTTGTTTATTTGATTTCATGATATAAGAGAGTTACCAAGAAATATTTAGTGAGTTACACTTTTTCTAGTATCAACACAAGATGCTTAGTCACTATCTGAGTAAACATTAAGATGTAAAATTGAGTTTCTATGAAAAACAATACCTTGGCCAACAGTTCCTTTTTACATACCTCAGAATTTTTTATGCAACATTCAAACAGTTGATGCTGACATAAACTGAATATGAACTGAAAAGAAAATGTCTTGTCTGCTAATTGTATGATAAAGTAACCTACCCACTAACCTTCTATATGCAGATGGATCAAAAAGTAAATTTTGATGTACAAGATGATTTATTTTTTACTTTTAAAGTGAGATCCATGGTAGTAGAAGCATGCTTGCATCCCAACATACCAGAGTCATTAAGAATGTCTAATGCATATTTTCTTTAGCACATATGCATTCCATTTTCATAGTGGACAAATTCTAGTCCTAGTAGTATTTCAGTTGTCCTAGATCATTTTGTTGATGTACGAAATTCGCACCAACGGTTTAGAGAAATCCCTAAGAAAAAGATCATTCGAATACTAAATGAGGTATTAATGATGATTGAGGTCGGAAGACCGTAGTTTCAGTAATAAACAACTCGGAATAGATTTACTTTTGAGGAATAGAATTTCAAATTTCCCCTTTAGTTAGGATTTATTTTTGAGAAATAGAATTCAAATTTCCCCTAGGTACATTAAATGAGGATATTTATAATGCAAGACCTATGGCCAGTGTTCACAATGTCAACACATCAACACTGATCACTTCACTATCGACAGTACGCGACAGTACGATGGATATGCATCTTCGAGATCTCACTCTATCTAAAAGGTAATTTGAAGAAGAAAAAAATACAATATAAAAGGAGGGTTTCAAGTTGGTTATATTTTACATGCAATACACTTCCAAAATAATAACTTAAAGGGTCGGAGCCTTTTCGTCATAAACCTTTCCGGCGTGTTTTGCACGTCAACAAGGAGCAAGTTGCGAAGGTGGTCCACAAGAGTCGGTTTGATTCCGGTCCAGGAGGAATAAACGCATCAGTATGAGTGTGGATACCGAGTGCATGGATGAAACTAGAGAATCAAGTACAAATATTTCATCGTGTTTCACTTGAACAAGTAAATTCTACAGATCTCAAACGTTACAAGAGAGAAACAATGCATAATGTTCAAGATTCATGTCTTCACAAATAATAGTTTGCCTCAAACGGTTTTAACTGATCCCTCCCTTTCCACATAATATGTACTGTGAAGTAAGGATGACTCTTATTGACAAACATTCTCGTCAAACCTTGTATACAAATCAAAGTTTCGAATTATGATCACTTTTCGACAACTGCTGTCTCAAAACCCTTCTCATGACTTTATTCGTGGCAGTCCTTGGAAGATGAGGAAGGAGAACCACATCAGACACCTGCCAGATTCAGCAAATATCAAGGACAATTCTTCTAATTATTTTTTATATGCGACTTTATTTTCAGAAATTTCATTTTTGCGTAGTGATCTCAATTTTTCTGAAAATTCCTTTATTTATTTTCTATTCAGAAAGTTTTATTAGGGAACCGGTCTGCAAAAATAGCTCAGCTCAAATATATACCTTGAAAAGAGGATTTAATTTTTTCTGAAGGGCTGAATTGAAAGATGCAACCAGATCACTCAAGTCCAATGACTGCTGGTCAGTAGTATCCTTGAACACAACTGCAACTACTAACCGCTCGGGCCCACCACCAGGCGGCGAAAGCCCAACAGCCGCAGTCTCCAGAACACCAGCCACTGCCAAATTACAGACACGCTCGATTTCAACCGAGCTTACCTGAACAGATAACCAAAAGGATTATAAATTTTTTCCTTAAATTCTAAGGCTTAAAGCACAAAACCGAATGTCCAATATTCATGAGGATCTCTTTATTGTATAACTTGAACAGACCTTTATACCCCCAAGATTCATAGTATCATCAGCTCGGCCATGTGCACGATAATAACCTCGTGATGTGCGCTCAAAGACATCGCCATGTCTTCTAAGTACCTGTTTCGAAACAAAAACATAATAATAACACAGGAGAAAAGGAAAGTAAAAAAGAAAAAAAAAGGACTTTAGAGTGACATATAGTGACTAAGTAGAAAGAAAAGTGATCACTCACTTTTCCATTCCACATTGGCATTTGCTTGAAGTAGATTTCATAGTGATCGGCATTCAGCAGAGTGCTTGAAGCACCAAACATGAGTGGACCAAGGGCTAGTTCACCAACTCCAGGACGGTCTCGAGGCTTCACGTAGAAATATATAAGAATTATGGAGTTGCTGTCCGATTTAAAAAAGGGTTAAAACCATTTAACGTGATTGGCTATATTGGCTGGCAGTGGTTGCGAATCTATAAGACCTTTTGATTTATCCCTAGTTTTGTTGATTCTTATAACTATGGGGGCCGAACAATAAATATTAAAACTTCTCCAGCAAGAATACAACTTGCTTACTGAACTAACATACTCCATCGGTTTCGTAATTAAAGTATCGTTCTAGAGTTTCTGCCTAGAATTAATGAACATAAAAATTTGACTAATACAACCATAATCAATTAACAATATTCTGGATTAATATTTCCCTTTGTTCCATTACTATGAGTTTTGATTCATAAAATAAGTGTGTACACAGTTGTAAACAATGGTAAAAATATTTGCAACGGCATTTAATTTGATAAAAAAATTTAAAATAACAAATATTATGAAACAGAAAAACTAAGGAACAAATATAAACCGTGATAAGAAAAAGAAGGGTAACCTTACTTCTCATTTGCTACCTATCCAACATTACCACGTTGTCTTATTCAGTGCAGTCAAGTTTTCCAGTTTGTTCCTAAAATTAGGGGAAAACCGGGCCTACACATTGTATTTCTCATTCACAAAATATCAATTTACAGATAGCATCCTCAAAACAACATGATTACTGTTCATCGTGTCAAGACCAAGGTTTCAAGTGGACTTACAATAGGGAATCCATCATCCCCAATAATAAACAGACTGCAACCCACTGCAGGTGTGCTAAAGGCTGATAGAGATTGATTTTGCAGTAATGATCCAGTAACAAATCCACCACCAATTTCAGTGCCACCACAATACTCAATAACGGGCTTGTATCCAGCCCTCCCCATTAGCCATAGGTATTCATCAACATTAGAAGCCTCACCGGTGGATGCAAAGCAGCTACACATTATCAATGGCATATTAGAATAGATTTTGTTGTCTCATAAGCTCTTATATCTTATAAGATGGGATATATTTTAAGAGTTGTTGAGCGTCTAAATAAAAAAAGATTAAAATGTTAGCAATAGCATTGCTGTAATTAAGATTACAGACCTCAAAGGAGGTACTGAAAATAAGAACCACCTTATGAGCTATCCGAACATCTAAGTTTTAGACCTACTAGGAAGATGCACGTGCTACGCACGTGATATTTTTTTTGTTTTAATTAAATTTATTTTATTATTAGATTAATTTAATAGTAGAATCTAATTTCCTTTCCATTATTTAACACAAAATTGTGAATTTTATAAGAAACAATATTAAATATATTGATTAAAACAATATACTATTATACTATTTAATTAATACTATTAAACGAACTCTATAACAAATAACATTAGATAAATAAATATTGAGTTAGAAATCTAAAATAAAATTAAAATTATTTTTAATATTGATTAAAACAATATACTATTATACTATTTAATACTATTAAACGAACTCTATAACAAATAACATTAAATAAATAAATATTGAGTTAGAAATCTAAAATAAAATTAAAATTATTTTTGTGAAATTTTAAATGCTAAAGAAATTTATGTCGTCTTTGATTTTATTATTTAATGATCTCGGCATTATGCTGAAAATAATGACATTACTATTGTCAATATAATATAGTTTTTTAATGTCTTTCTTTTTCGTGATACTCTTGAAAAATAACTCTTATTTGCTATAGCTATAACTTGTAATTATCATTTTTTTTATTGTTGATTGTAAGTTAAACACTATGGTTGAATGCTTTGTTCTTTATTATTTCAATTATACGGTTGCAAATTCAATTATGTTGCACTTATAATATTAAGATATATATTTTCTCTCTTGATATAATGACATAAGAGATATAAATATTTGAAAATATCTTTAAAGTCGTAATTATTTAAAAAAAAACAAAATTTATTTGATAATTATTTGGAACAATAACATCCTTGATTAATTAAAGGTACTTATCTATCTATATATATATATATATATATTGTCGTAACATTGGTTGATTGAAGGAACCTATCTATATATATTGTTCAAATTAAAATAAATTGTTGTTGCATCTCCTAACATTGTCGTGCATTCATTATCATTTTCAGATTTTCAAGAATATCCTAATAGTGATAATTAAATAATTCTATTTTAAATTAATTATAAAACAATGATTCTTTCATATTTACTTTTATCTTAATATTATTTTATATATTTGTCATTATTTTTATAAAGGAAGTGATTCGAAAATTATAATTTATGGATGATTTTATAAATAAGATTGGCTAATGAATATAAATTTAAACTAAATGTACTATTTACTTTTATTTAACTTATTTTAAATACAACTATATATTTTCTAACAAGTACATGTATGAGTTTTAATTATTTTATTTTATTTTTATAATTACTCTATTTTTATTTATATTACAATTAAAGTAAATGGTAGATTAATTTATGTAACACATATATCATAAATTAACGTTTATATTATACATATTATTAGCAGATAAACTTAAATCGTATTATGCATATTGTTTTAGTGAATAATTTGAACAAAATAATATTATGTATTTTCACCTAACAAATAATTTTTTCCACAAAAAACTAACTTTTTGTATATGTTGAAGAATTTTTTTTCATTCAATCATTCTTAAACATATGCATATTTACTAAATTATTCATTTTCTATTTTTTAATACTATACTATATCCAAAAAAACCTATAGTAAAAAATATGATATTTAGAAATTAGACATAATACTTTCATTGGTGCATTATATATTGTACACTTGTTAAATTAAATATATTTTATTTAAAAAATCTTAAAAATAATATTTTTCTTACATTTAAATAATCCATTTTCCGTAATTTTTATTCTATTTTTTATTTCTAACTTACATATTTGTTTAGATAATCTTAACATCTTTATATCAACTACAAGAAATTAAATTATTGAATACGTAAAAAATATAAAAAAAGATCATAGATAAAACAAATAATAAAGTAATGTAGAATGAGAAATAATTGATTGAAAAAATGATTGTTACTATTAATATTTATACCTCCCTAACAGTTGTGACAAAATTACATTATTGCCTTATAATTAATTATAGCGTATGACATTTTTGGCAATTCAATTTTTTCAAGAACAAGTCTCACTTTTAAGATAGTTATTTGAAAAATGAACTTTAATCCATTTCAATTATTATAGGGATTTAAAACCCCACAGTGAAATAATGTGTTAAATTTATTTAGCTTAATTTCGATTAAACTAAAAAATAGTTAGATTGTTTATTACATAAAAGTTGTAATTTTACTTACAAAAGATTGATTATGAATGAATTAACTTGTTACACATGATATAATAAATTAAGGGAAAATTACACTTTACCTACTAACTATACGAAAATTTACACTTCGCCCACAAAACTTTTTTTTTTTTACACTTTGTCTACCTAACTTTGATTTTTTGTACACTTTGCCATTTTCGGTCACCGCCGGCGTCATAAAACAATACGTGGCTTTTCTGCCTTATTGCCACGTGTCGCCGACAATGTCCGGAAATGGCAAAGTGTACAAAAAATAAAAGTTAGGTAGGCAAAATGTAAAAAGAAATAAAGTTTTGTGGGCAAAGTGTAAATTTCCAGATAATTATGTAGGTAAAATTTAATTTTCCCTTTTACTAAATTTTGAAGATGACAATGAATATTCATGACCATTCAGTTGTAATTAATATTAAAAATATATATTATATTGGAGTTCATAATGATGATTTGTAACTCATCTGCCCTCATTTAATTAAAAAATTAATACATTTCGAAAGACTACAACTACAATTATTTATCACATATCAAATAATCATATGTATGACATTAAGTTGGAATTACTAATTTGTACTTGAATGATAGAAGGTCTAAATATAGTTCCATTTTTTAGAATTTCAAAATTATAAACTCATCACTACATGTAATTTATTCTATAACTATAAAGATAGATAGGAGTACACATTTTAAGGCATAGTAATGAAAATAAACCACGATAAAGATAATTTTAAATAACATGTATTACAAATTAAAAATAATATTTATTATTTGGCTTGATACTTATTATTTTATATATATATAATACTAAGTTTTCTAAATTGTGCAAGCATCATACTAACTTTTCTATTTTTTCTCTATTTCACAAGACAAGTATCCACAATAAATAATAAAAATACATCCATGATAAAATAAAAAATAATTATAATGTCACAATACTAAAATAATCAAAAGAAATAATGAAAATGAACAAATATCCAAAAGTTACGTTTCTTTTTCTTGAGGATAATTGGATTTCAAAGTTAGATAAATAAATGTATACTCTTGTAATAAATAAATTAATTTGTGGATGATGAAGAATAATAGCTTGGATGAGATTAATATAAATTTTATATGCATGAAAAATAATTGTATATGATGAAGAGAAATGGAAGAGTTACATATATTTATAAAAAAGAAAATATGTGTGTAGTTCTAATGTGATTTTAATTTAAAATTATAATATTACGTTTATATCTTTCAAACAAAAGTTACATTTCATTTTTCTTAAAGATAGTGTTGGCCTTTCAAGTTTCTATTTAAATGTGGTTGGAGAGTTACAAATCACAATTATCAATTCTAATTTAAAATCACAAATTACATTTATGTTCTTTAAAGTAACATCTTTTGAGGGCAGTATGGGCAATTCAATTTTTTCAAGAAATAACTCATACTTTTAAGGTAGTTATAGAGTTATAGATATAGATAGATAGATTATAGATAGATAGATTATAGATAGATAGATTATAGATGAAAGAGTTTAGCCCAAAAAAAAAACAATTTTACTGTTGGCTATATCAACAAAGATTGGCTGCAAAAGGATGCACTCTGTGTTTTGGCTTTGATTTAAAGTGAGCCCTGTAGTAATATATACAACAATAAGAGAGATTCTTACTATTGTTGTAAATTTCCAACTGAAATGTGAGATGGATATCAACAATGCTTTCATAAATGGTGGCTTGTCACAGGACATTTATATTATGTAACCACCAGGATTTGAGCAAGGCACAGTATGTCCCATCCCATCGTTTGCAAGCTTAAGAAGGCCATGTATGGCTTGAAGCATGGGGTGATAAAAAAACGTGTGAGTCAACCTGAGGTGACACTACTATTGTTGTTTGCCAAAGCATGGGGCATGAGGCGAGACACTCACCTCATTGAAGCGACGCGGGCCAATTTGTCATAATAAAGATTTCACGGACAATGAATAAATAACATATAATCTAGGTGAAAACAAAAAACAAAGCCCCAATTACCATCCAATAGAAGGTTTCTCCTATATTGCCTGGAAAAAGGGGGCGAAAATAGCAGAGAAGCTACTACAGGCAGGAAGCTCCAGAGTCCAGCCACACCCAAAACCCAAGAAGATGGGTCAAACAACTGCCAAAAGTTGAGATAATGGGAAAAAGAAAGAAAATAACATGAAAAGGAATACATTTACTCTCAGTTAGTCAGTTTTAGGGGCCACTGGTCGCCGAGCTTGAATAAAGGGAAAACATAAGCCAATTGAGGGTTTATCGGCGCAATGAAGTGCAATTGAGATCTGTTTTATGAAAAACCCTAAACTGATGCCCTAAAATGAGGTAGTGTCACTAATCGAGGCAAGACCTCGCGTTTCACAAGTGTGCCTCGCCACACCTCACACCATAGCATCGCTTTTTTAATCACTGCTTGAAACAAGCCTCAAAGGCATGGTTTCATCAAGTAAAACAGCCCTGCAGATGATGCATTTTGTGTTTTCTGAAGTTGATAACTCGTTGTTTGTGAGAAGAACTCATATTTTTGTGATTTACATTCTCATATATGTTGATGATATTCCCATAACTGGAAATGATGAAGAACGGGTAGAAGGGGTGATCACTCGGCTCAAACAATGTTTTTCATTAGAATATTTCGAAGAGCTCAGTCATTTTCTGGTTGCGGAGGTGAATAAAACTGCAGACGAATTCTTCTTGACTCGGAAACAATGTGTGGATGGTTCGCTGATCAAAGCTGGAATGGTATGATCAAAGGGATTGAAAACACCTGTGGTTACTTCACCTCATAACATGAAATTTGCACTCGCATATCCCAGCAAAATATGTATCATAACAATGAACATGCGCCATTTATAATAACACCCAATCTTCAAAGACCCACACAAAAACGATTAAAAAATGAAAAAAAAAAAATGGAATAAATAATATGCATTTGACCAAAAGAGAATAAATAAGATGCACGTGAGGAAAAGAATGAGATAACACAATGCATACAAATACGGATATTAGTATCAAATAATTCCAACATACCGGATGGCAGACCAATCATAAGAAGCTGTCGAGTTTGCACTTTTCCACGCCCTTACAATAGAAGGGATCACGCCCAGCATTGTTACTTTAGCATCCTAAAGAGAACCATTTGGGTTTAAGAAAAATGAAGGTACAAAAACCATTTAGACCTTAATGATGCAATTTGATGTTGCCTGAAAAAGATTATATGTATCACAAATCCATTAACTACTGCAGAAGATCTTCCTCTCGCTCTCTCTTTTATATCCATTTAGTCATTCACCAGCTAATCAATTTCTTGTTCATGCCAGTTTAATTAAATTGCCATTTCACAATTTCCATTGCTCAGAGTCAGGCATTTGAAGAGTGAAAAGATCCTTTAGTTCATAGGCAAGAAAGTACGATAATGTGGCATGATGATATATAAGGGAATACATAAATTTAACGCGTACCAACCATTTTAGACAAGTATATTTACCACAAGAAAAGTACTGATCTAAACTATTTTCAGATAAGACTATAATGTAAACTGAGAACACATACTTCCGCAATGGTATGAATCAAAAATAAAAATCTCCGACACTGGTGTTTAGAAATATACAATCAGAACTCCTTATCATTTATCATGAGTGAATTTAAATCTACATGTTCGAGGTTTATATAGTCATTCAGATGAATATGATATCTACATATAATTATCACGGATGGATATGTGCCTTAATGTACATAAGGCTTTCTGTAACAGAACTAGAAAGATATGCACCACGTGAATTGGGATACTTCATGATACAAAGATTTATGCCATGAATTATCAAATATTGATCCTGACATGCATCCAACTCGAAAAACCCAACCCTCCAATAAACAAAATATCAAGGCTCCCTGAGGAACATCACAAGAACTGTTTCAAGAATATCTTGGATCGCTACAGAAATATTCCTGGGCACATTTAGTTACACATGAACAGCAGAAATAGCTACTTCATTATACATAATGCAGCTAAGATCAAAGCAAGGATAGAAATGAGACAAAAGTGTACACCACCTGAACAAACCTGGCAAAACCAGAACCAAGGGGGGATCCATTGTACAGAGCTATTGAAGCACCATTCAACAATGAAGCATAAACAAGCCAAGGGCCCATCATCCACCCAAGATTTGTTGGCCAACAAATTATATCACCTTTGCGAATGTCCATGTGACACCAACCATCAGCAGCAGCTTTAAAAGGTGTAGATGCAGTCCATGGGATTGCCTTTGGTTCCCCTAGGAAATAAATAAATAAATAAATAAAAGAAAACAAGAAAAGAAAAAGTAATGGTGTAGTTCTCTTGCGTTTAATCAATTTTAAGATTGTTACACTGAACGAGGCTCCAGTTGATCAATTATTATCTAAAGCCAATCCAACAATTATCTACCTGTTAAAATTTAGCATATTCTTACACTTCAGTGTTCAATTTAAAGTTAATTACAGCCACCTATGATGTTTCACCCAGTTACAATGTCTCGAAATTATAATTAGGACCAACAGACTTCACATAAACTAATATAGAATGTGATAAATGTCAGTGACATCATTACTTTGAATATTAAAAGAAATAAATATTTTGACAAAAAGATCTAAAACCCTGAGGGGGCTGGCTATGTTATCACCGCTGGAAAAGGGTATTTGTACACTTTGGCATTAATGGTGTAATCACCAAAAAATTAAAAAAAAATAAAAATAAAATAAAAAAAAAAATAAAAAAAAAAAAACACCCAGAAGATACTCTACCCTCAACCCTTGTCCCCTTAACACCCTTGCATCTCGTCACCATCACGTGAAACCATGAATGGGAAGCAGTGATGCTTATCTGAAAAATGATTGGGTAGAGAAGTGGGCCTCAGAAGAGGTTGTTAAGGGCATTGGCAGTCACAGTTTATATATATTGACGGCGGAAGCAATGTAATATGCTAGAACCTTCTTTTCCTTTTTTTATTTGGCTAGTCCAGCCAAGTAACTAATCACAGCTAAGTGCCTAACTGACAGCTAAAAGATTGCAAGGATACCAGAATATCGGAGCCTATCCAGGAAATAGGACTTAGCTCATAGTTTCTATCTATGAGTAAGAGAACAACTAACTGTTAAGTGACTAAGCCAGCAAATGGTTCCAGATATTGGTAGGAACTAGCTCCATAGATCGATGAAGCACAAGAGAGGCAGAAGCGACAACCATCATATAATGACATGTATCTGATAAGAACAAGGACTAAGTGACGGGATAATTGCATTAAATTCCCTGTGTATTGATAAATGTCCGTGACCCCTCTAACTATAAAAAGTACGCATATCCCAGTTATATTTGGGACCTGGTTGATCACTCTCCCTTTACAACTAACATAGTTAGTTCCGTGTAACCAAGAAATACGCATTTAAGAGAAATCTTGTAAGAGTTTGGTGTAAAGTTATGAACAAAGCGCACACACCCAAAAACGGGAGGAGGAATGAAAAGAGTGGCTTGTCACGTGGATACTTTAAGGCATTCTATTATTGAGATAACAAGAAGTCAGAAGCACATCCCCACAAAGGTATTTAGGTATATGCATGAGGGACATCAAAGTGCAAGTGCGGGTGCGGGTAGTAAATAGGGTCCAAAATATGACGATGTTTGCGTACAGCCACCCCATTTTGTTGGCAAGTATAAACGCACAAGGTTTGACGAATTACCCCAAGTGACTCACAAAAGGTAGAAATATTTCTTTAAATCAAGGGTATTATCGGTGAGAAAAATACGCAAATTTGTGGAAAGTTGAATCTTTATTCATTATGTAAAGATTTGAGTACATGACGAACTTGGCTTCTATCCTCGAGTAAATACAGTCGTCATTCTAGAATAATCATCAACAAGGATAAGGAAATAGAAAAGTCTCCCACGAGACTTAGTTCCACTAGGACCTTAACAATGACCAAGATCAAAAGGAAACGCACAGCGATCACAGGCTTTAGAAGGAAAAGAGGTGCGGTGGTGGTTGCTTAACCAGTGTTTTGCCACAGTTTTGCCACACCAGCTTGTTTTAGACTAAAATGCTGATGAACTTTGTCTTATTGTTTATTCTCCTTGGTGGTTTATAATTTTTTTTGGGTTGTTGACTCATGTTTTAATGTCGTTATTTGTTAGTGCTACATGCTATTGACTTGCGTAGTTGTGTGATTGGGTTATTTGAAGATGATTCTGCAATCTGCAGGATAAAACAATCAAGATACTAGAAACAAGACATACCTGTTGTTCCTGATGAGAAAAGAATATTTGTGAATGCCTCAGCTGTTTGTTCAACAGCGACAAACTCAATTTCCCTGCAAGTGAACATGTTTTAACATGAGAAAGTAAAGCAGGCAGATACTATCCAATAGAATCCACAGTTTGCCTTGATACACATGTCAAAATGATATATTGCATGTCTGAATTCATTTGTGTCAAGATTATATCTCAATTCTCAACTATGATGTCAGAAAGCATAAGAACTCCACAAAAGAATAAACATTGACCCAAAAATAGCTGTGAACCGTGATTAAAATTATGATTTCTAATCAACAAGTTATGACTTGCATCTCATTCTAGATCTCTCAAGCTAAAAGCTTCATCTAGCACTATAATCTTAGTCATAGGTAATTCTTAATGGACTTCACTCATTCTAAACGTTCATAAAAAAAATGGATCCATTTATGAATTCTCTACACTAAAAGTTTGGATACTAAAATACCTAAAGATCAACTTGATAACGCTGCTTACTTGGAATCATTTGCTCTCTCAAGAAAATCCTGCCAAGACACGTCAATATCACGTAACTTCACGCTGAAAGTGGGGCCACCGGTGGGAATTACAATCGCCATTGGTGACTGAGCTTCAACAACTCTACTGCAGTAGTCAGAAACGGGTGTGAGGAAATACAAATATGAAAGAAAGTGAACAATGAGCAAAGTAGACAGATGTATTTTTAATCCTGTATTTCTACTGAGCAATTTCTCTTTTTCAATGTTTCACAATGAATGAAGTTTATTAACCCTGCCCCTTAAGGTAAAAAATGTGAAATGTCAAAAGAAAATAAAAATGCATGCTCTGGGAATCATGATTGCTTGTATCCTGGTAAACTAAGCAGCCATAGTTTAGACGACAATCATCTGCAAATGAAATATAAATAACCTTATTTATCATGGGTTGCAGGCACTATAAATATCATTCATAACTTGATTGACAAACATTATAAGAGAAGAATTTTACCTAGGCCAATTTCTCTTCTTTTTTTTCATCCAATGGCAGATCTATATACATTCCTATGTCAATAGCACAAACTTTAAGAGAGAAAAAGACAGATCACCTGTACAAGGGAAGTTTTCTGTCACCACGAATTATGAAATCCTGGGAACAAAAAAACAATTTCAGAGGAGATTAGACATAGAAGAGGGTCTGAATCAAAGATCCAGCACCCCCAGTTGATGAGAACAAACACATCAAATACATTATTTGCAACTTGATGGCTTCATCGGAAGGGATATGAGCACCAATATAAATGTTCCTATTGGTGCAGTACACATCAACAATTCTGCACACAACTACAGAAATCATTTTGTTGTAATCTCCTTTTCATTACCAACTGTTCTAACAGAGTTGTAGATAATGATAATCCGTTTGAGATTAACCTGAGGCTCATTTAGATGTTCATTGGACTACAATAAGGTTTCAAGCAGCCATCAGATATATGGTACTTAAATTGCATTCAGAGTTCGTGGAGCCATCATATACATGATAATGCTTCATTCATATAGAAGTAAAAGAGATTCTCACCTGAGTAAAAATTGCTTTTGCTTTTGATATTTGGAGCCTTGTGGATATTTCTTCGGGGGCAAAACTATCAGCAATAGACACAACTATGTAACCGGCAAGTACTATGGCCAGATAGATAACCACAGAAGTAACATTCATGGGCATATCTATGGCAATTGCAGAGCCTTTCTCCAACTTCAGAGTTTCTATTGCATGAGAAACAAGCCTACAAAACAATCCTAGGGAGAGTTTAAAATCATCTCGTAGTTAAGTTATCAAGCTCATGGGAAATAATAGCAACACAGGACATAGTGACAAATTGAGGAGAACGTTCCACAAAGAACAAAGGAGAGAATCAAGTTGAAACAGCAATAAGTTGAACCATATGCAATGAAATCTTGAAATAAAAGAGTGATTTCAATTCAGCTTATTCGCAAGCTGGAGCAAAAAGAAGTTAACTGGAGCCATTGGAATACTGCGTTTGGTAAGCAACATAAGCTAGCTTATAGCTTATGTATTTAGTTAGCTTCTAAGCTTATTGTATTCAAATAAACCTCATTTGGTAGGATAAGTTTATTAAAAAAAACACTCGAGCTTATTTCAAATGCTTATCGAGGCGACGTTTCATAAAAGCCATTGAAATTTTTGTTTCAACTAATTATACCAAACACTTCTACTAAATCAACTAGCTGTTCAGTCACCATAATCAACTATCAGCTCGAAATGAACTTGCAAGCTACAACTTATGTTATCTAGCTTCTTAAGCAATAAATATACCAAACATACCCCATAACTTTGTTCCAATTAAATTTGAGGGATAATTACAAAAACTAACCTTAGGGTTCAACCTAATTACAACAAAACATAATTCCTAACTCAAGTATCTTTCCAAATCACAAATACCCCTAAGATGTTCTCCTTCTCTCAACAAATAATCCCCCGTTGCACGTGTTCCATAAATATAAAGAATAATAGTTAATTCTAGTTTTAAAAGATAACTTGAGTCGTATAACTTCTAGGGTATGTTTTGTAATAACCATATATATACGGAACCCATAACCTGTGGACAAAAGTCTATAGGAATACCTTTCAAAACTAACAAAAAGTCTCAATGTATTTTCCTCATAACAATAAGGGGAATGGAACCACAGGTGCCGCTCGTTCACAATATAAATGGACAATGTGTACAGGTCATAGTCACTATTTTACTACTTTGCAAGGACTCATGAAAGGCTTTGTGACAAAAATAACGTATACGATGTTTTAATATTAATTCGTTAGAAAGCCATATTCATCACATGTATCAAAAATAGTCACACCCACAAAGAATGCCAATCACTATGATGAAAATGTAGAATACCATACTGTTGTGCGAAGCTCTTTAAGGGTCATCTTGTTTACTAGCAACTCATCATCTGTTTCATCACGCCACATTACAGCAGTATCCGTGAGATTCCACTTAGCACCAGTCAAGCAGCTTTTTGCTGGATTGATAGTGGCACCTGGAAGCCACTTACCCCCCGGATGACTAGGATCCTCACACAAAATGCGTTTAGGGGGAACAGAAAATGATACCTTCATTTCCTCAAACAATGTTTTCCAAAAAACCTGGAAATATAAAAACTGTGAAATGAGACAAAGCAAACCTTTGAAGTGCCTTTGAAAATAAAGGACCCGGCCCATGATGGTGAACAGTTCATACCAACCTCAGGATTTGATACAGAAAATTCCTGAAAATCGGAGAAGCTTGAAATAGGATCTACATATTTTGTCCCAAGGAATTGTTTACCACGTTCCTCCAGTAGCTGTCCAACATTAGTCAATTTTGCTCCAGCACTGTGAAGAACAGCAATTATTGCGAAACAGAATAATGAAATTGCTTTGCAGGTGTTAAGAGAATATGGTTTTACTGTCAATTTTTCGGTCTTCAGTAGAACTTGGTCAATCTGGTTGTCAAACAGAGATTAGAACCAATTTCCAACACTACAAAGTATCTTGAGAGAATCAAGGTATCCTAAAAGAACTGTAGTGTGAAAGACTGCCAGAGTTTCAAAATTGCTCAAGCGAACAAATGCAAAACCAGAAAACCAATTTCTTCCAAATGTTTTCCAGTTACTTCTTTTGTACTTCGTTAAAATTTAAAGATGAGTGTATTCATCAGAACAATTTTTCTCGGTGAGAAAATGAAAAAAAAAAAAAAAAATGTTCTCGTGATGTGAACCATAGAAAATTATGTTGATTAACCCAAGATATTCATTAGTTTGGCTACGAATGATGGAAAGCAAAGATCTCTCTTGGTAAAACAAAAACGTCAGCATGCGGCGACACCAAAACCAAATATGAATGTCAACTAGACAAGTCGATAATTGCAACAAGAGGTAATGTTCTTGAAACACATTGAACTCCCTCAAAATTTGGCGACAAAATAATTCAATTATATTAAAAATATTCAAAGGTTTAATGGTGAAGAAAGCTCCTTCATAAAAGACTCCAGAAACATAAATATAAGGAAATGGCTAATAGTAATAACCCTAGAAATCAGCCATGCAGCCAAAAAAGGCACAATTGTGGATCACTCACCATGAATGATCGAAGATCACCCTACTTTTATTTTCTCAATCAAGACTACTTTTATAACATAGAGCACTTATCGTGCACTTTATTATTCATTGACTGGACATTGTCCCTGCCATCCTTTCCAACCCTTTGGCACCTGACAGGGTACTTGTGTTTGGACAGGAGTTACAAATGGCAAGCTCGCGGTCAAATATGCCTACTCGTTTTTCTAGTAGAGCATCACAAGGTGCCTTGGGAACGATGGATTTGCTCAATCAATATGCCAGAGGCTCCTACTTCGGTGAGTAAACTATATCACCACCTAGCGAGTGATTGGATATACTTTGGGAAAGAAAAGTTTGGTGGAAGAATGAATATATTTGGAAATTGTGAATGTATATGATGAAAACATATTATTTTAAAAGTGGATGTTATATAAAAATAGTAATGTAATAATTGGACATGATTGGTAGTTAGAAATATAGGAGTAGATGAATAGTAAACTTTATTAGAAAATGTGTAATAATTATTGATTTTCATCTTAAATTGTGTCGATGTCTTCAGTTTGAGAAGACAAAAGTGGTAATGTATTAATATAGTATTTCCTGTAAATATACATGCATACAATTGAAATTTAATTGGAAGAGAATTTGTCCAGAAAAATGGAAGTGGAAATTAGTACACCCAATTACGCCCTAGCTGTTACGGCTTATCTTCGCTAAAATGGTCACTAATTTGCTAATATTTTTTACTGCCATTGAAGGAAACCATCGATCATCTAATTTGCCTTCATTACTAAACTTTTTATTGGGATTTCGACTCCTTCGGCTTCCCAAGACATGAGTTATTTCTTTTAACAAGTTACTCCTATGTGCTACGTTTTCCAAGTTTAGTGAACAATTAGCTTTCTTTTGGAAAGCGACGATTATTTCTTTTTCTGCTACTTAGGTGATTTGGTACGCATGAAAAAATCGTGTCTACAATAATGTGATGCCTCTCTTCAAAGAGATGCCTTTGTTCCTTGTTAAAAAACTCATTCTTGAATCAGAGGTTCCTGGCAATAGTGGCTATATGAGTAACTCAGATTTTATGATTCTTAGACAGCTTCATGTCCCTTCGAGGTTTCTTGCCCATTGGAACAGAGTACTTAGCCTTCTCCCTTTCTTTGAGTTTTTACAGCACATCAGCACCCATAAATATTAATATTTCGAGGTTTCTTCTCCCTTTCTCAGGTGGCATTTTCAGTTGTCACTCTACATAAACAGAATCTATCAATCGGTCCGAGATTATCAGTAGGGTACAAAGATTTCGAGCTGCTAAGAGCTTTTAGCTACCTCACTGCCTTGTGGTCATTTTATTTTGTTGAGGAATTCAACCAGCTTGTGGTCAGTTTTTCATCGGACTTTTCACATAAAGGGTAATCTGTTTATAAGTTATACCCCCAAAAAGTCAGCTATCCCAAGATAATCTACACTACCACTAGCCATAGCACAAAACCGAAGCTTTTGTTTCGTTTTTTCACAGAAGTTAACTTATTAGATTATCAGAATTTCCCTAATTCTCCTGCATTACTCCACAAAGAATAGCTACAAAATTCACAAATATCGACCAGAAAAATCAAGCATCTCAGAGAAAGCCAGTGACACTAGTAGGCAAGTAAAAACACTCATGTACAAAGATAAACATATAGTACATACGGGTCGGGCATCCAAGCGGGAGGATCGGATCCGAAGTATTTGTAGCAGCCATAGTACATCATCTGATGGAAAGAAAAGGGTAAATCGGGAGTAAGAAGGTGCTCGGTGATGTTAAGCCAAGTTTGGGGAGTTGCAGAGCCCCAAGTTCGGATGATTCCGGCGAGTTGGCTGTGGAGTTCATCCGCTATTTCTTGCGTTATACCCAACGCCGCTATATCAGCCACAGTGATACAGTCCAGAGGCTTGTAATTCTCGCTCCCCATGTCTGTAGGAACAGCTTTTTCATCCCCTCAAAGAGAAAGAACTTTGAGAAAGAACTTCATGATTTAGATGGGTTTGCCAACTAAGAATTTTTTGTTTTGTTTGAAATTTGTATTTATTTATTTTGTTTAGTTAATTTTCAATAAAAAAAAAAATGTGGTAAGATTAATTGTTGGTAGATTGGCGAAAAAATTGGGTTACCCGGACTTTGGACCGGCATGATCTAGGTCCGTGCCGGGTACATGGTCTGATCAGTCGGGACGGGCCCGGTGGGCACAAGGCCTTGGACCGGTCCGGTTGAAATCCGAGCCGAGTTCGCACCCGTGGTCAATAGGTTTGACTATGCCGGATCCGTACCGGATGGCCCGTGGCCACGTCTAATTGCTAGTGGGTACTAAAATAATATTTAAAATAAAATAATAAAAGTTGATTTAATGTAAAAATATGAGATAATGTATGAAGTGGTGGTTAGTTAAATTATCTATATCTATATAATTGCCGACATATAGCATTTAATAAAACCTGTTTAATAAAATCTCTAAAATTTTCTTCCATTTTCGGTTACAAAATTCATCATTTACTTCTTACATTACTACATCCTATTCAATAATGTATGTTCCTATTATATTACTAGTTGGTCGGATGGCTGTGCACGCACAGCCAGCTCTAGTCCAGTCTATAATTAGAACCAATATTTGTCAATATTTAAAAATACGCATACCCATTTTTTTGGCAAGCATAAATGTAAAAAAAAAATACACATAACTGGCTCAAATTTAGTCTGTTTAGTTCATATTTTCGCGCCAAATTTGATTATATTTTCACGGCAGACTAAAACTCGATCTAAAAATACACTGAAAATTTTATCACTTGTTGCAGGTCATATTTTTGCGATTTTTGCAGTTGTTGACATATATTATGCCTTTCCAATTCACATTGTCTGAAGATCCTTTCTTATATGATTGTCATTCTTCGCCACTCATTTTCAAACAAGTGTTAAGCGCAATTGATTAAACGTTAACCACGCACATTCCAAAATACACATCACAATTGAACGGTCTATTTTGTAGTTAATAAGGTAATTTACAAATTCAATATAAAAAATAAAAACCACACAAATGTACCAAGTGTAG